AACCAGTAAGAGAAACATTCACAGCATTCAGAAGGACATCCCCTATCATTACAAGATGATGCTATCTAACAGTATTTTGGGCCACACTCAGCTATCTTGGGACACTAGTGGTTCATGGGCCACAGGTTGGACATACTTGATAGCAGTTCCACTTTTGGAAATCCACCCAAAAGAACTGAAAGTATTTCCACACTAAAACTTTACAAGAATGTTCCTGGCAGTATTAGTCATATGTCTGTTATTGCTGTAATAATTACTAACGAGACCTATAAAATAAGCCTAAGGGATTTTTAAAATTCTAGTTGATTATAATCGTCAGAATATAATCTGAGTCCTACATTTGATAAAATTAGACATTTGACCTTCTTTCCACTTATTTATTTATTATTTATTTATTTATTGCAGTAGGATCTTTCTCTGTAGCTTAAGTTAACCCCAAACAAACTTGTATGTAGCTCAGGCTGGGCTTTAACTCTCCTTAATCCTCCTGCCTCAGCTTTCTAAGTGCTGGGATTACAGACATGAGCCACCATACTCAACTTAACCATTTTTCTGTTTATCCAAGTAGCATACAGAATCTGTAAGTCATAAAACGATAGAATCGCCTGGCATGAGAATGCAGTACTGGCTGACTTGTGCCAACTTGACACAGACACGCACTGAATTAAAGATGTGCTACTGGTTCTCAACTCTGGTTCCTTAGTGTTTTATTTGAGCACACTTTTTATTTTTTGCTTCACTTTCTTTTCCCAAGGAATTGTTTTTGTTTGGTTTCAAGACAGGGTTTTACTAAGTACCCCTACCTGTCTTTGTAGCAATCCTCCTGCCTCAGTCTCCTTAATGCTGGCATTGCAGGTGTGAACCACCATACCTGGCTTTCCCAAGTGGCTTTTACTTATCATAAATTTATCTAAATCTTTGGAATTCTATAGACCAGTCAAAATATGAGCTTCTGGAACCTGCATCCTCCTTAACTCTCTGTGGAAGTGAGCAGAAGTGCTTTTATTGAAAGAACAGCTCTTTCATGTGTTAGTAATATACAGTTGTTAACATGGTAAGGCATCCTTTCCTCAGAGTAGGTGTTGGGGAACAACACCTACTTCCAAATTTTTGTTTTATAAAATTTTTGTTCTGCCACCAACGGGGTTGGTGGCGCACACCTTTAATCCCAGCACTCGGCAGGCAGAGGCAGGTAGATCTCTGTGAGTTGGAAGCCCCCCTGGTCTACAAAGCGAGTGCCTGGATAGGCTCCAAAGCTATATAGAGAAACCCTGTCTCGAAAAAACCAAAACAAAGCAATATTGTTTTGTAAAATGTGATGATGCTTAGCATTTGTGACCCAGAGCAGCCAGACAGATTAGGGTCACATCTGTTGAGGGTTCACAAGCAGTATGGACACAGGAGAACCACAGTCAGCGCTGAGAGCCAGTGAATTGTCCATTCTCCTCAACAAGGGGAAAGGTTGGTGAGCAATGCCCCCTTGTGTACTTGTGGTGCAACAACAATCTAGAGGGGTTGGTAGTAGTACATGAAGTGCCTCCCAAAAGGTTCAGTGGGCAGCACAGGCTCAGTGTGTGCCCCTGATCCTGGACTGGTGCCTGCGCATAGGTATTTCCTCTGGTCCTGGGGCATTGCTTCTCCTAATGGAGGCAAAAGATCTTGTTCCTGCTTCCTGTCCCAGGACTCTGACTGCTCTTCTTTTTGATGCAGCACCAAATGGTTGGTTATATATGCGCATGCATGCACACATGCAAGCAGGAGTGTACACATCTATCCTGTGGCAGGTCTCCTTGTCCCACAGAAATAAGACACAGCAGCAGTGTAAGAGGGTGGGAACAGGGAAAAATGCTGTGGGGGAAACAGGGCCATTCCCACACTCCAGTTTTCTACCCTGAGATAAACAGCCCTGTGTTTACATCAGGCCAATCATGTCTCTGTGTCAGAGGCATTCCTGGTGTCTTGTCATCCAGACAGACCTGGACCATTTCACCGATTCAGTATGGCACATGCATCAAAGAAGACGTCTCCTGAAGAAGTGTCTGATAACTACAGCACTGACCGGAAGTCCACTGTCTGACTCGTAGTTACACTTTATGCATAATGCTGAGTGATTTTTCTGGGGAAGACAAACGTCTATTTACCTGAGAGAAGGCACCAACCCCAGACCAAAGAAATCCCTCCATCTAAGTCTAGTACGGCAAACCAGTGAGTTTAATTAGGTGACTTACAGGAGCATGGGCAACTTTCAGGCAGTTATGCCATTAATGAAGACTCTTTCCCACCAGTCACTGTTCTCCACTTTGTATCCTCAGATGGGAGTGGAGGTCCCCTTGATTACACAAGGGAATGTTTTATTATTGTTATTAATATTATATTACTACTACTACTACTACTTTTGTGAAGGTCTCCAGTGGATAGTCATAGCTGCTCTGATTTCACAGTCAGAAACGCTCCCAGAAATGTCCAGAGGCCACGCATGTACAATGCTGTATTACACAAACCTCCCTTCACAGCTAGAGTCCTCATATCTGTGCTTAAGGTAAGTCCAGTGGACAATTAATCAGCACTAGGAAGTGCCAAGCCCCTATGCTTCTAACTCACTATGAAGAATTTCATAAAAATTTGTATTTTTGAGCCAAGCAGGGGTGACATACATCTTTAATCTCAGCACTTGAGAGACAGAAGCAGGTGGATCTCTGAGTTCAAGTCAGCCTAGTCTACAGAGTGAGTTCCAGGACATCCAGAGCCACTCATAGAAATACTGACTAAAAAACAAAACAAAACAGAGCCAACCAACCAAACAACAACAAAACACCCAAAAACAAAATAAAACATTTCATTTTTTGTTTTTGGGGAAAACTTTCAGCCTTTATGTTTATTACAAGAAAACCATGCTCAGCCTTTTTTTTTTTTTTTTAAGTTTACTACAGGAGGATCACAAGGTCTTGGCAAGCCTGGATGACATAGCAAGACCCGCCTCAAACAAGCCAGTAAACAGGAGATAGAAAGATGTCAAGAAAAGATTAGTGCTAGCCCTTGACCAAACAGCTAGTGTGTGAGTGGTTGGAGGCAGTGTTAGAGGGACAGCCACTTGGGAGAACTTGGGCTACTGAAAATTAAGCGCATCATCAGTTAGGCTTGCACTTGGGTCTGTGCCCCACGTGGTTGCAATGCCCCAAGAGGCCAGAAGAGGATGCTCTGGGACTGGAGTTACAGGCGGTTGTGAGCTGCTGTGTAGGTGCAAAGATTGGAACATGAGCCCTTTGTAAGAACACCCAGTGACCTTAGCTGCTGACCCGTTTCTCCAGCCCCATACTTGAAAGGGTTTATTTTTTAGTGGAGTGCGTGTTTGTACATGTGTATGCAGTACCAGAAGAGGACAGAAGAGGGCAGTTGCTCTCCTAGAACTGGAGATGTGCTTGCTGGGAAACAAGTCCTCCTCAAAGGCAGTAAGCCCCTTAGCCACTGAGCCACCTCTCCAGCCTCAGCAAGCCACACTTCAGTACCCTGAATGTTAAAATCTCTCCCTCTTTCCCTAAGTTAAGATTCTGGAACTAACTTGGCTAGGGGAATATAGGACTTGGAAACTCATCTCAGTTTCCTCATAGGGTCGGATGAGCAGACTAGCAGGATCGTAATCTTTGCCTCTCTTTTCTGTTTAGCCCAAGGTGAATTTGCTACTCTGTAAGCATACATTGAACAACTTTCCTCGATTATGCCAAACGAAGTCCCTCGCAGTTTCCAGGGGGCACGTGGAAAAAACATTGAACTACAAGATAGGAGTTCGAAACCTCAGGGAGAGTCTTGGCTTGGCACTGAAAAAAATGGATACCACTTAGAGAGGGAGAGGAAGATTTTTGTTCAAGTCAAATGGCTAAGAGCGTGACTTTGGAGCTATAGGGACAAGACCCCACTGTTCAGTTGGAAGGCCCCCTTGGCTTCACTCACCACCATTCCAAACCCCGCCCTTCTCAGAAAGCCCACCAAGCAGTGGCTCCTCCCCCAGAGCTGCTCAAGACCGGGTACACAGGGTATTTAGGCTCCGGTCCTAAACCTGCCATGTGATTTCTCCTTCTCCCTCCCTTGCTTCGCTTCTGGGGGCCTTGAGAGTCACCTGGGGGCGATTTCTTCATAAACCTGAACTGATTTGGCTTGATCTGGCTTATTGTGTTGGCAGAAAAACCTACTACCCCGTTTCAAAAACACCCACCCCACTCCAACACTGCCGTCTTCCAGCTCTGTGGACCTTACAGGCAAGTCCCTAACTTCACTGGGTGTCAAAGTCTGATTTACAAAGGCTGGCATAATAGCCCCCTTGGATGGTTCACATCAGGATTCACTGAAATAACGGACATAAAATATGTAAACTAGAGCATAACTATTAGTTGTAGTGGCTGAGAAAATGATAGTATGTTTGTTGTGTTATCGTCTGACGACATATGTAATTTGTTCTCAAATGAGGGCTTTCTGGTCATGGTGGTGGTGCAGAGTGGCGGGGTACGGGGACTGAAGAGGTGGCTCCATGGTTAAGAGCACTCGTTCCTTGTCCCGGATCCCACATGGTTGCTCAAAACCATCTAATTCAACAAGCACAGTGTAGTGCACATACATGCATGCAGGCAAAAACATTCACACTTTTTAAAGCACTTGCTGCTGTTGCAAAAGTTTAGTTCCCATAACACACACACACACACACACACACACACACACGAGTTCAGTTTCCAGCACCCACATGGGACACAGATACACGCACATACATAGCTAAAAATAAGATTGTAAAATTTTTAAAAGATTTAAAAGTTTCTTTTAAAGATTTATTTTATGTTTGTCTTGCGCGCGCGCGCCCGCGCGTGCGTGGGCGTGTGTGCGTATATGTGTGCGCGCGCGCGCAGTGTTCTTTAAGGGACTTGGATACTCTTCAAATGCCTTCCTCCAGTGCGGCAGGCCCCGCCCCGTCCTCTGCGTGTGACCGGTCCTTCGGCCACAGGCTCCGCCCCTGGGTGCGCATGCGCGTGGCGGGCGGGTGGGCCGAGGTGATGCTCTTGGTTCGGCGCTGCTGGGGTCCGCGGCTGACGGGGAGGCGGCCTTGCTGTTCGTGTCGGTCACCGGCCCCGCTCGGCGGATCCTCCGGCGGGAAGGACAGCCAAGGCTCCCGAGTCCGCGAGAAGCCGCCCTGGAGGGTGCTGTTCCTTGGCACCGACCACTTTGCGAGGGAGACGCTGCGGGCTCTGCACGCCGCCAGGTACCCGGCTGGGGCGGGGTCGGGGCCCCGAGGGTCGCGGGGTCCCGGAAGGCGTGCGGTGGGGTCCAGGCCTGCGGAGCTCCTGCAGCACCCGCGAGCAGGCCCTCCTCCTCCTGCGCGTGGGATCCCAGCCTCGGAGAGGCCCGGCCGGTGCCTAAGGCCGTGAGCAGGGCTGGGTAGCCAAAATGGGCTGTGACTCCAAAGTTCGTCCCTTCCCGCTCTTGCTGAGCTCCGCTGGCCTCCAGTCCCTTGCCCTTCTACACGCCCGTGTTTTTTAGGCCTCCAAACGAACCGTTTTCAAATGAATGCACTTCTAAGCTAGAACAGTTCCGTATACGTATAGTATTTATGAGAGTTAAAAAACCGTGTCTACTAGGGAGAACGTTATTTGTAATTCAGCCTTTTCTGAAAGTCTGGTATGTCCACCGCCCCCTCCCCCCCCCCAGCTTAAGGTAATTTGGTTATTTATCATTCCCTTGTTTCCTGGCGGCTCCCCTCCCACGGTTCTGTCAGCTTCATCTCTGCCTCCTTACAAATACTTATTTTTCTTTTAAATAAGGTTTATTCTTAAATTTTATTTGTGTGTGTGTGTGTGTGTGTCTCTGAGCATGTAATTGCTGGTGCCTGTGGAGGCTGGAAGAGGGTGACCCTGGAGTGACAGGCAGTTGTGAACTACACACTGTGGTTGCTGTAAGTCGAGAACTGACTCCTGCAAGTTATTTATCCTCTTACTTCCAAATACACGCAGTAGCACATGCTGGCACTTAACACATATAACATGTACATAATAATAATAATAATAATAATAATAATAAAGTTTCTTTTTAATGGGTGTTGGGTACCCTGTAACTGGAGTTAGAGACAGTCATGTGTGTGCTTGGAATTGAACCCAGGTCCTCTGGAAGAGCATTCAGTGCTCTTGACCACTGAGCCCTCTCTTCAGACCCATAAATTTTTTTTTAATTAAACAAAAAGCCCTACTTGTTGGTTGCACTCATTTTTAGTTATTTTAGCCCTAAATGTGTCGTGAGTTTAATTATAGAAATCTTCTCCGAGTGAAGTCATTTAGCTTCGAGCTGCTCAACACTTGCTTTTTTCCTCTAATCTCTCTTATTCAGAGACGACAAAGAGGAGAAGTTAATTGAAAGACTGGAGGTTGTCACAGTGCCTTCACCATCCCCCAAAGGACTGCCTGTGAAACAGTATGCTGAACAGTCCCAGCTCCCAGTGTACGAGTGGCCTGATGTGGGATCCGGAGAATACGACGTTGGAGTAGTGGCTTCCTTTGGCCGACTTTTGAGTGAGGCTCTTATTCTTAAATTTCCCTAGTAAGTTTTATTTGTAAGGGAATACAGTGTAGAGATCACATCTTTATGAATGGATCTAGTACCTAAAATGCCATAATTTAAACTGCTTTTTTTTCCCTCTTACTGCTTTTTCCACTTTTCTCTCATTACTTTTTCACTCTATGTAGCTCTGGGTGTCCTGGAACTCACTCTGTAGACCAGTCTGGCCTCAAACCCACAGAGATCTGCCTGCTTCTGCCTCCCAAGCCCTGAGATTAAAAGTGTGAGACACTAGGCCCAGGTTAAACTGCGTTTTCTCTACTGTCTTCTTTTAAAATAAGGATTTATTTTTTGGCACAAAATGTCAAATGTGTTAAACTTGTTACTCTTTGGCTTTCATCTGCCCTCATTTAAGTTTCATGTATATGCTAACGTCCCCACCCAACTCTCCCTGAACCCCAGGTCCACCTTGTCCACAGCTCAGCTTTTGTGTCTCCTAGGCTTCTCTCACTGAAGAGGCCCAACACCTCTGTAGATCTTTATCTTAAGAAATATCCACCCCAGCCTTGTGGTTGTTTGGGCCCCAAACCCTGGAGTCATTCTTCAGTTACCTTGTGTCCCACATGCCGTCCATTCTGAAGTCTCATGGCTGTGCCTTCAAAACCTAGAAAATTCTGACAGGTCTCATCAACTGCATTGCTTCCCTCTTGCCCGTGTTACCGCCGTCACCTCTTAGCTGGTCTCTGCTTTTGTCTGTGGCCCTGTCGGTGCTTTGCCAACCTAGCCAGCCCAGCAGCCACCATGGTCCCTATAAAGGGTCTGTCAGACCCTGTCAGCATGCTGAAGCTCCTCTGTCAGCTTGCAGTCTCACCCATACTGAACGTCAAAGCCCCGTGTCAGCCCACTAGAACCTCCATTGATCCTCTGTGGCTGCTGTGGCTTCTCGGGATTCCTTCTACACCAGCTAGACTTGCCATGCCATGCCCAGAACCTGGTGAGCATTTTCTTTCTTTAAGACCTCTGACCCGGCACACACCTTTACTCCCAGTGCTCTGGAGGCAGAAGCAATTGAGCCTGGTCTACAGCGTGAGTTCTTGGACAGCCAGGGCTACTCAGAGAACCCCTGTCTCAGAAAAACAAAAACACTGTACATACCAGGCACGTATACACACCTGAACTTGGCACACATTTTCTTCCCTCAAGATCTCCGTTTATGCCATGCATGTGAACACTCCTTTAATCTCAGTACTCAGGAGTCAGAAGTTGAGAAGAATAAAAAAGTTACATAAAATCGATGTACTGTTCTCCTTATCTGGAAAGCTCTTCATGTTTATGGTGGAGTTTCAGTCACGATGCTGCTCCATAAGATCGTATGGCTCAGTGATGTGATAACTGTCAGAACCTGTGTAAATTACACCCTCAGCTGAATGTTTGAATAGGGATAGTTCCTGATGACAGCCCTGGCTGTCCTGGAACTCACTCTGTAGACCAGGCTGCCCTCAAGCTCACAGAGATCTATCTGCCTCTGCCTCCCGAGTGCTGGGATTAAAGGTGTGCACCACCACTGCCTGGCAGTTTTTTAATTAAAAAAAATTGCATGGATATATGTATTTTATAATGTATGAGTTCTCTGTCTGCATGTACATCTTTATTCCAGAAGAGGCCACCAGACCCCACTATAGATGGCTGTGAGCCACCATGTGGTTGCTGGGAACTGAACTCAGGACCTCTGGAAGAGCAGTCAATACTCCTAACCCCTGAGCCATCTCACCAGCCCTTTATATCATGTGTATGAGTGTTTTGCTTGCATAATATGTATGTGTACCATGGATGTGCCTGGTGTCCAGGGAGGTCAGAAGAGGGTGTCAGATTCTCTGGAACTAGAGTTATAGATGATAGTGAACCACCTTATGGAGTGCTGGGAACCAGAATTCTGGTCTTCTCAATAGGTGTTCTTTTTTTTAATTTATTTTTTACATTCCAATCCCAGTTCCCCCTCCCTCCTCTCCTCCCCCTCCCCCCACTAACCCTTCCCATCTGCTCCATGGAGAGGGTAAGGCCTCCCCTAGGAAGTCTACTAAGTCTGTCCCATCATCTAGTTGATGCAGGACCAAGGCACCTCTCCACCCCCATCCACCTGTGTCTAGGCTGAGCAAGGTGTCTCTCCATATAGAATGGGCTCCACCGAGTCAGTTTGTGCATTAGAGTTAGATCTTGGACCCACTGCCAGTGGCCTCATACATTGTCCCAGCTGCACCATTGACACCTATATTAAGGTGTTCTTAATCACTCAGCTATCTCTCCAGCCTTTACTTATTTTTAAGTAAAGTGAGAGTGAATTTACCTCTGACTTTGTTTTAGGTGATACACACCTCAAGGTCCTGTGCTTTTAACCCTACAGGTTATATAAATTAGGTAATACAGACTGTTAGGTGTTTTGGGGGTGATGATTGTTTTGAAACAGGGTCTCAACCTGTGGCACAGACTGGCCTGGAACTCACAGCAGTTCTGCTGCCTCAGCTTTCCAAGTGTTAGGATTAGTACATGCCACCACACCAGGCTCTTGAAAAGCTTAATGATAAAAGTGCATGTTAGTTTGGTAGCAATAACTAATTCTCATACTGATTTCTGCCTTTTCTAACTTAGTGGCGTATTGAATGTACATCCCAGTTGCCTCCCGAGGTGGCGTGGTCCCGCCCCAATAGTTCATACAGTGCTTCATGGAGACACAATCACTGGCGTAACAATTATGCAAGTTAGACCCAAAAGGTATAGCTTATTAACTTAAATTTTGTTGTCAGTCTGTCTGGGGCCTTGGTGGTTGGGAGAATGGTTGGAGTGTGCTAACTTGGTTAATTCTGCAGTGTTGTCCTTTGCTTTTATAGATACTCTGAGCATTTCTCATTTTTAACACAAGCCATATCTTTGAGATTTATACAGAGTCTCTTTAAAGTCCTTGTAAATTGGTCATTGGAATTATTAACACCTGGGTTTGTTGTTGTTGTTGTTTTCTATGTTTGTTTCGTACTTGTTCAGATAGTCATTGTATATCCCTGGCTGGCCTAGAACTCATTATGTAGACTAGACTGACCTCAGACTCAGAGAGATCCACTTGCATGTTAGTCAGTGTCTCATCTATTCCAGGGTGACCTCAAACTGGAAGGGCTGGCAATTATAGCCTGCTATAAGCTGTTTTTGTGCTGTGTAGACAAATACAGTGATCTTAACAAATAATAATGTTGGCTGCTTTGGGTTTTTTGTTTTGCTTTGTTTTTCTTGCTAGGTTTGATATAGGTCCAATTCTCAAGCAGGAAACTATCCCTGTGCCTTCCAAGAGCACATCAAAGGAATTGGAAGCAGTGTTGTCAAGACTCGGTGCCAACATGGTACAGTTCCCCCACCCCACCCATCTTTTCCTTCATTCAGAAGACTTCTTAAGCAATATGAGGGAAAAATGATCGTATGATCTGTATTTTTTTTTCCGGTTTTTTGAGACAGGGTTTCTCTGTGGTTTTGGAGTCTGTTCTGGAACTAGCTCTTATAGACCAGGCTGGCCTCTAACTCAGAGATCCGCCTGCCTCTGCCTCCCGAGCTCTAGGATTAAAGGTGTGTGCCACCACCACCCTGCATGATCTGTGATTTTTAAGCTTACTGGTGGTGGGGAGGGAACATGGCAGTGGGGTGGCTCAGCAGGTAAAGGTGCATGCCACCACGCCCGATGACCTGAGCTCAATCTCCAGGGCCTACATGATGGAGAGAGAACTCAGTCCAAGTCCCCTGGTTCACATGATTTGTGCACACACTGTAAACAAATAAAATGACAAGAGAGATCAGGACTGAGGCTGGGCCCAAACATGGTTATATTCACCTGTAAGCTCACACTCAGGAGGCTGAGGCAGGAGAATCAAGAGCTCCAGGTCAGCCTGGGTTGTGAGTCTTAAAACAACCAGCAGAGTGGTTCCTGTCCCTGGCTTCCTAGAAGTGAACTCAGTATTTGTGACCATTGAGGGTTGCAGAGTGAAGGCTTAATAAAAGCTTTTTAAGTAAAACAGTCGATCTCCAGTGGTCCTCCATTTCATGTGAGGTATTTAGTGTATTCTTCTTAGGTGCCCTCTCTCCACCTCCACCCTCTTACACATCCCTTGCCTGCTTCTCTCACTCATGTAGCAACCACACCTAGGAACCTGTATGCTTCCCAGCGGATGCTTAGTACTTCCTATTCTGGGCATTCTTCAGAAGTGACATTTTATGGTGGCTGCCATTTATCAAGACTGTTCTAGGTACTCTGGTTTTTCTTTTGCACCCTCCCAACAAGCCTCTGAGGTAATTGTTGCTGTCACTCATTTCGCAAACACAACATTCAGAGGTACAGGCGAATCAAAGGACTTTTCCAAAATGAGAACTCCAGTAGATGATGGAGGTAGGATTGGAACATGCTCCTGTGAAGCCCCAGGCCTTGTGTGGCATGAGAGTGTTAGCAGCTCCACACAGACTGCCTGATAGTGAGAGCAATCCAACACTGTGTGGAAGCAGTTAAGTGCCTGCGTTCCACAGAGTAGCCACACATCGGCACACATCCTTACAGTGATGTCAGTTTGCCACCAACTCTTTTGTTGGGACAAGTTACTTGATGGCACTGAACTGTGATGTTTCTGCCTTGTTCTGTTGAATATACTCTGCACTCTCCTTTTTTATATTTGTAGCTTATTTCAGTTTTGAAAAGCTTGCCTGAAAGTCTGAACAAAGGAAGGCCACAACCAGCTGAGGGAGTGACGTATGGTGAGTGAAAAACCAAAGACATCCTGACCTCTTGTAAAGATTTTATTTGCCAGGGTGGCAGCTGAAGGCTCTGGCTTCATCGCTGTCTTGTATGGACTTTCCCAGATAATGGTTGGGAAGCTGTCCCCTTTAGCCTATAGTTTCATCCTCAACATTTCCCTTCAGCATTTCCCCACATCTTTCTGTGTGTATATTTAGTGCATGAATTGTAAATTCTGATTGCTTATTTGCAAGCTAGTTCCAGGACAGCCTCCAAAGCCACAGAGAAACCTTGTTTTCTGGAGAATGGTTTTCAGGAGTTGGTGCTCCTGCCCTGGAGGCTTCAGGGATTAAACTCTGTGAAGCAAGCACCTTTACTCGCTAAGCCATCTTGCCTGCCCTCTCTGGAATTTGAGTCATAGTTAAAAGGGTAGTTTCCACTCAGGTTGTAACGTAGTTCGCTCATATTTTAGAACTTGTTAGGTCTGCTTACTTCTACTTCGTATTATAGCAAGTTGTAGACATAAGTTAAACATCCTCTTCTGCTTGTAATTCAGCTTCACTCTGTCAGTTGGTGAACATGGAACCCTGTTCATTCTTGGTCTTGTCTGTTCTCTCAGCCCCTAAGGTTTCTGCTGATACCAGCTGTGTCAAGTGGGAGGAGCAAACCTCAGAGCAAGTACTCAGACTTCACCTCGCCATTGGGGACATAGTGAGTTGAAAAGTTGGGTTGTGTTTTTACAATATTGTTTCCTTTCTCGGTATTTTTATTTAGGAATGAGCCTTATCAACTAAACCTAGGAAATTTTCTTAAACTTTAAATTTTAAATTTTGATAGAGGTCTTGGTATTCATGAAGTGCTTTCAGAGGTACATTCTGCAGTATTTTCTAACCAGGTTTGATTATCCCCTGTCATTGAGAAGGAAAATATATAAAAACAAAAAAAGTAACTTTGATGTGACTAGTCAGTAACAATGAGTCTTAAGTCTTCTGTCTAGTATTATCTTTCTGCTTCTGGTCAGTATTAATTTTTTGAGGGGGATTGATTTTGGGGTTTTTGTTATTTGTTGTTTTGGAGTTTGTATTTTTTGAGAGGGTGTCTCTGTATAACAGCCAGCTCTAAAAGATTTGTTTTTAATTATGTGTATATGTGTGTTCAGGGTGTGTGTGTGTGTGTGTGTGTGTGTGTGTGTGTGTGATTGCCTTACCTATGGAAGCCAGAAAAGGGGTCAGATCTTTTTAGAGCTGGAGTTACAGGTGATTGTGAGCCACCAGTGTGGGTACTAGGAACTGAGCTTGGATATTCTACAGGAGTAGCACTTGCATTTTTCTCTAACAAATTATTTTATTGCTTCTTTGGGAATTTCACGTCATACACCCCAATCCCACTCATTTCCCAGTTCTTCCATGTCCTTCCTCAACCTTGTAGCCTCCCCCACAAAAGAAAAAAATAAAAACAATAATAATAATAAAAGAAGAAAACACTTTACTCTTGCTGTCTTCTCCATTACATGGTCATTTGTCATAGTGGCCTTGGGAGCTGTGGCGTATCAAGCAGTATCCTCTTTGCCTAAGCAGCTTTACTTACAAATGGTCATTACAATGAGTTGTTGGTCTGGTTCAAGGTCTGTGGCTTATGCTACACCATCAATATTGTACCCTCACCAAAACTCCTCTCAGATATCCTGACTCATGGAGGAGCTGCGCTTGCTCTTAACCATTAAGTCATCTTCAGCCCCAGATTTGTTTGTTTGGAGATCTGGTCTCACTCTGTGATCCAAACTGGCTTGGAACTCATGTGTAGCCCACATTGTCCTCACATTCAGGAATTCTCCTGCATTAACCTTCTAAGTCCTGGGGTTACAGATATAAGCAGTACTTTCCTTCCTCCCTCCTTCCCTCCCTCCCTCCCTCCCTCCCTCCCTCCTTCCCTCCCTCCCTCCCTCCCTCCCTCCCTCCCTTCCTCCCTCCCTTCCTCCCTCCCTCCCTTCCTCCCTCCCTTCCTCTCTTCCTCCCTCCTTCCATCCAACCCTTCCTTCCTTCCTCCCTCCCTTCCTCTCTTCCTCCCTCCATCCCTTCCTTCCTTCCTCCCTCCCTCCCTTCCTTCCTCTCTTCCTCCCTCCCTCCCTCCATCCTTTCCTTCCTTCCTCTCTTCCTCCCTCTCTCCATCCCTTCCTTCCTTCCCCTTCCTTCCCCTTGCCCCCATTTTATTTGAGACTGTTTCATTGTGTAACCTAGACTGAACTCTAGATCCCTGTTTCCAAACATACACATAATGTTTTAAAATGCAGCATCAACATGCAGTCTGAAAATAATGAACTCAGAGAAACTGAGAGAAATCATTTCCAGCTACATTGATTTTTTTTTACTATAATTACAATCAACTCGTGTTGTGTTTGTTTATATTACAAATGTGTTAAAATAGCAAAGACGGCATTTCACATTAAGGGGAAGTGGATTAACCAGTAAGTAGTATACTTCTGGAGCAATTGGATAGCCCTTGTCAGTGAAGGCCCCCCCCTCAAGATTTATTTCATTTCCTTATGTGTGTACTTGTGTATCTGAGTATATGAGCATGTGTGTGTGCAGGTGCACTTGCTCATGTATGACAGGGACCAGGAGAGGCCATGTGATGCTTCAGAGCTGGAGTCACAGTGGCTTCCTAGATTTCAGCTTGTTGTGTGGGTATACAAATGAACGCTTGTTTTGGGGTGTGAACTCCCACCCTCATGATTACAAGCTCTCCTAACCACTGAGCCATCTCTCTAGTCTCAGATGGAGGGAGGCCCAGTGACTCTACCTTTATTTTGTTTTATTTCATTTCAGGCATATGCATCTTGCCTGAATGTGTGTATGCCTTTGTACCATGTGTGCCCTAGTGCTCCTGGAGGCTAGAAGAGGGCTTTGGATCCCCTGGAATTGAAGTTATAGACAGTTATGAGCCACCATGTGGGTTCTGGGAATTGAACCCAGGTCCTCTAGAAGAGCAGCCAGTGCTCTTAAGTGCTGAGCCTTCATTCCATTCTACATTTTTATATCAAACTGCTAAACCCAGGGTGGTAGAACACATCTTTAATCCCAGCCCTCGGGAGGCAGAGGCACGTGGATCTCTGTGAGTTTGAGGCCAGTTTGGTCTACAGAGAGAGTTCCAGGACAGCCAGAACTGTTATACAGAAAAATCCTCTTATGAAAAACCAAACAAAAAAAAGTAAGTTTTTAAAGGTATCTCTACAAAGCTGTCTATTTATTGTGTATACACATGTGTGTATGCTATGGCATGCATGTGTTGGTCAGAGCACAACTTTCAGAAATTGATTCTCTCCTTCTGTCTTGTGTCACCATTAGATAGAACTCAGGCCATCTGGCTTACTAGCAAATTGTTGGGAGCTGTCATTCTGTAAATACGTGTCAGATTGGTTTGAATAAAGCACTGTTGGCCAATAGGGAAACAAGATAGGTGGGATTAGGAGTCTAGGAGGATTCTGGGAATTGTAGTGAGGCGAGCTCTCACCATGTGATCTCCCGGGAGCAATGGATGCTCAGGAGTGCGTCCTCAAAAAGATAAGTTCTTATAAAATATATATTAGTAATTATTGGTTAATAATCAAATCAGAGCTAGCCAATAAGAAACCAAGCAAATGGCTAACAGCTTCATAATTATTATAGTGTCCTGTGTGTTACGGGGGCTCAGACAGCTTGACAAAGCCCAGGCAGCTGGTGGGAAGACTACACATTACAGCAAATGTCTTCACCTACTGAGTCAGCCAGCCAGCCAGCCAGCCACACAAGGCTGTGTTTACTGCCAGTTTAGAACCTTGCAGCAAGAAACTGCTGTCGATATAGCTAGAAATTGGAGGGGACTGGATAGATGGCTCAGAGGTTAAGAGCACTGGCTGCTCCTTCAGAGGTCCTGAGTTCAATTCCAAGCAACCACATGGAGGCTCACAACCATCTGTAATGAGATCTGGTGCCCTCTTCTGGCCTGCAGACATACATGCAGGCAGGACACTGTACATAATAAATACATCTAAAAAAAAAAAAAAAAGAACTTGTAAATGCACGCCCTTTAAAAAGGTTTTATTGTATAAATTGTGATTAGTTCATAAGATAGGATGCTGTGCACAGACACAGGTGAAGGAGGTACACAGACACTGGCAGAGCCATGCTCTAGGTCTTTGTTCTAATAACACTGGGTGTGAGGAGAATATAGGGACATAATACATCACACTGTCAACTGTGGCTTCCTCTTGTGAAAATATAAAATACTATCACTTTCTAAAATTTTAACACAAATGCTTTAATTCTTGCTTTCATATTGAGCATAAATGTTTAATTGGAAATATTAAGGCCACTAATATAAAGCTTAAGATCATATACATACTGCAGAGATGATACAGAGGGTCATATTCAGGCTCTGTGTCAGCAGATTTAGTGATCTAGTGTCCAGTTTATCTGGACAAGGAAGAAAAGTCAGTGGATTAATATGCAGCAGTGTCAGAAATGCCTTGGGAGTCGATTCCTTCATGAATTCTTCCATTCCAATTGCAGGTTCCATTGCAGACACTCTGGTTGGAGAACACCATTAAACTTCTGGATCTAGTAGAAGTTAACAACTCCATCATTGCAGGTACTAAGTTTTGAATAGATGACAAGTTGTTTTCACTACAGTCCATTTAAAAATATATCTGTCTGCCCTCCCAACCTGTATTTCTAATTTTCCCACAGTGCAGTAATGACAACACCTCATAGTCCCTTGTCTTATCCTTTGAAGTGTCCATTATATGTCTCACGCAATCATCACATGAACTAGGGAAGTTGGAAGTCAGTGTCACTCTCCTACTTTAAGCTCTGTGTCTTCTTGCATCAAGGTCGGAGGCTGTGGAATGACTTAGTTGATTTCATGCTGGTGAATATCATAATGAAAGTGTATGGACAGTGCAGTGAGAGCACAGCATTGCACCCTACAGTTCCATCTGAGGTCCCTCAGCATCCTCTAGAGTGAAGAGCTGGAATGTAGGCTGCAGGGGGCGCTGTTCCAGCTCAGAGGCAGTGGGAGTGCCCCGTTTGTCTTAAACATTAAAGTGACAGTACCAGATTGACAGATTCGGCATTGAAGGTGATCCCTGGGAGATGGAGCAAACGACTGTGACTTCTCGTGTGTGTGGAACAACACTTCCTTTGGGTTCATGCTATAGCCAGAGCACTCGGCCCTAGGAGGTTTGGGTTTGCAGAACTGGGCCTCAGTAAGTGTGTCCCTTCCATCAATAGTTCTGCTTCTGAAGATGCCTTTTTGTTCATTTTTTAAAAAAATATATTTATCAGTGCTGGAGATGGAACCCAGGGTCTTACAAGTGTTATACCTGTTATATTCCACCACCAAGGTGTTTTGAATTTTAAGAAGTACCATGATTTATTTCTGTTTCTCCTGTGTGTCATCCCCCCATTAGATCCCAAATTAAAAGGACACACTGTGACTCCGGGGTCAGTGGTGTATCACAGACAGTCACAGATGCTGCTGGTTCATTGCAAGGTATGTTGATTTCAGCTTCAAGTTACTATGGTTGTTTTACTGAATTTGCAATTTGTATTTCATTTTCCTCTTGAGATGAGGTCTCACTAAGTAGCCTAGGCCACCCTTGAGGTGACCCACCTGCCTCAGCCTCCTGAGTGTAGGAATTGCAGGTGTGTGCCACCAGACAGACTTTCCATTTACCATCTGTGGTGATTGGAATGAGATTGGCCCCCGTGAGCTCATATATTTGAATCCTTGGAACTCTTCGAAAGGTTTGGAAGGATTAGGAGGGGTGGCCCTGTTGGAGGAGGTATGCCATAGGGATGGGCTTTGAGGTTCCAAAAGCCTGTGTCAGGCCCAGAAGAGTCTCTCTATGAATCAGCTACTTTTCCAGCACCAAGTGTTAAATGCTTTAAGAGTTGCATTGGCCATAGTGTCTCCTCACAATAGAACACTGATTAAGACACCATTTTCATTAAGATTTTACTTAATTAATGGCTTATCAGATTAAGTTAACAGTTTTCTTAAGAAACAATGGAATCTACAGCATAATTTTTGAAAGTGAGTGCAGGTAACCACAGAGACCAGAGGTGTTGGATTACCCCTAGAGCTGGAGTTATAGGCAGTTATAGTCAGTGAGCTGCCAGATAATGGGTGCTGAGAATCAAACTTGGTCCTCTGGAAGAGCAGTGCACACTCTTAACTGCTGAGCCAACTCTTGGGCCTTGGTTTGCTATGATTTGATAACTATTCACAGTAAGATATGTGGACCTTCTCAGAAAACTAAAGCACCTATGTTGAAATAGGTCAGGGTAGTTGTTACTCTTCCTTCATGAGAAATATTTAGAGACAAGCATTACATGTCATTCAGTACAGTGTTCTTTATGGATAGTAAAAGCAATTGTTTCTATTACTTTTTTTTTTTTCCTTAAAGACTGGGCCTCACTGTGTAACCCTGACTTGCCTCAAACTCAGAGATCCGGTGCCTGTTTCCCCAGTTCTGGGATTAAAGGCTATGTCACCATGCCTGATACATTTTATATAAAGTACAGTTTATTTCATTTTCAAGTTTTGACCCAACTGTCTAATTACTGTCTGTCCTTTGCCCTTTAGGATGGCTGGATCGGTGTTCGATCAGTAATGCTTAAGAAAACACTAACAGCTACTGATTTCTACAATGGATATTTGCATGCATGGTACCAAAAGAATCCCCACGCTCACCCAAGCCAGTGCAGATTTCAGACTCTCAGACTTCCGATGAAGTTGCATCAGAAAACCAAGTTGTTGCTATGCAACAGTGCATTAAGTAGCTAGGAAGAAGATGGACAAGGACCTATTACACACTTGTAATTTATTAAAAGCTTTATTTACAAGCAACTGACTTTGAAAGTTCACACTATTTGGAGAAAGGCAAATGGTTATCAAGATGGTGGAAGTCTCAAGCTCTCCATTTTTTGGTTTTTGTGTGTAACAGTTAAGAGCAACCTTTTTTTAAGTGAATAACAAAAGAAGTTTAATAACATTTGTATTTATAATGTTCATCTTAAAGGAGATTATGCATTTGAAGAGCAAGGCAACTAAATGGTAGGTATATATTCTAAAAGGTTGTTCTAAACATGGTGAGTGTAGCCAGCAGTGGTGGCGCACGCCTTTAATCCCAGCACTGAGGAGGCAGAGGCAGGCGAATCTCTGTGAGTTCAAGACCAGCCTGGTTTATACAGTAAGTTTCAGGACAGCCAGGGCTACACAGAGAAACCCTGTCTTCAAAACAAATAAACAAATGGTGGGTCTAAGGACTTGGGGGAGGGGAGTCTAGCTAAGTAAAGCACCTGCTTAGCCTTTGTAACGTTCTTTGTTTGATCCCCAGCACCACATAAACCACATAGTGGTGTGGTGCACACCTGGAGTCCCAGTATTCAGGAAGTGGAAACAGGGATCAGAAGTTCTGCAAGATATTCCTCTTTGGATTTTTATCATTGGTGGAAAAAAGTTTGCTTTACCTCAGACTTAAAACTGAGTCTTGGCATGTAGCTCAGTTGGTTGAATACTTACCTGTGGTGCACACGGCACTGACTCCATCCCCAGCACCACCCAGACGGCGTGGTAGTGCACGCCTGTGATCCCAGGACTTGGTAGATGAAGGCAGAAGGTTCAGAAATTCAAAGCCATCACTACAAAGCATGTTTGAGGCCTGGTTGAGATGCACGAGAACTTGTCTAAATACAAAACTGGTTCCCTAATCTTGAAGTTCAAAGGTATTTGGTTATATAGCAAGTTTGAAGCCAGCCTAGGCTAAATCAAAGCCTGACTTTAAAAAAATCCTTAGAGTTTCAGATTTGGCTCTGTGGTAGAGTGCTTGCCTAGAAAGCATAAAGCCCTGGGTTTGTTCTCAGCTTGGTGGGGGAATCCTCAATATGGTTAAGTTTATACTATTCTGATCTTAGAATTAGAAAGAGCATAGAGATTTAGTGCAAACAAACCAATCTTACAGCAAAGGAGACCAGACCTGGAAAGAGGGGAAATGTCTTGTCCAAGAATAGAATCAAAAAGGGTGTCTCTGTCTGTGTCTTTCCCCTCCTTTCCTTTCCTCCCCACTCTGGGTGTGGGTGTGTGTCTGTGTCTGTGTATCTGTCTTTGTCAGTGCTAGAATTACAGGGTTTTGTGCATGCTAGGTAGTAAGCACATTATCAGCTGAGCTATAGCTTTGGCCCAAATCAGGTGTCTTAACTCACAGATGACAACTCATAAATTATGAATCACAAATAACTGTATCTTCAATATTCTGTCTGGTGGGGCCTTTAAATCACAAACTAGCAAGTAGGCATGTCTGCATGTTTCTTGGGCAATTCTAGAGTACCTCTCTACTGTCTGGTCCCCACTCTGACAGACTGTCTAGCAATGAGGAAGCAGCACTGTTTGGCATGTTAGCATTTCAGTCAGTATCTGGGACAGCCATAAAAAGCCTGGTCTTCAAGGCTGCTGTAGAGATGGCTCTGTGGATAGTGATTTCACTAGCCTGAGGGCCTGAGATCAGATTTCCAGCAGCCATGCAGAAAAGCTGGTACTCCACTTATCCTAGTAATTAGGAGGTAAAGACAGGAAGATCCTGGGGGCTTGCTGGCCAGCCAGCTCTTCAGTGAGAAACTGACTTAAAACATAAGGTGATGCAACTGAGGAAGATGCCTGACATTGACCAGTTGCTTCTACATGCACACCCACTAATATACTCACATCCGTACACATGCATGTGTCTCACACAGGAGAGAATTCAAGCTGGGTGTGATGGCGTGTTCTGATGAACCTAGCACTCAGGAGGCTGTAGCAGGAAGAGCCCACATTTGAATCCAAGGCCAGCCTGTGTCAAAACAACAAAAAGATGGTTTTGCGAGACTCAGTATTGTCAAAAAAAAAAAAAATCCAGTCACTGCTTCACAAATCTGTGGTTTCTGAGAATACTCAAATGGGTGCAATATAGAGAGGCAATCTAGTTTGAAGGCCAAGTATATAAAAAGGCCTAAAGTACTGAGACGTTACCAGATGAGGGAGGGGAAGGGCCCTTCAGATAGCTGCTATGGCTATACCACATTGGGTCCACAGAGAGCTGAGTGGAGACCCAGACCTGCTCAAGGCTCCATATTAGATAATGAGATAACATCTTGCAGGTAATGGGGAGTTATGGGAGCATTTAAAGCAGACTATAGTTCTTTTTGTTTTTAAAGACTTGTTATGTATACAGTGTTCTGCCTGCATTTATGCCTGCGGGCCAGAAGAGGGTGCCAGATCTCATTACAGATGGTTGTGAGCCACCATGTGGTTGCTGGGAACTGAACTCAGGACCTCTGAGAGACCAAAGGGTGTTCTTAACCGTCAAGCCATCTCTACAGCCCCCAGACTATAGTTCTTAATATAATTATTTTAATTATGTTAATCACAAGCAATATATGAATATATTTTTAATTTTTAATCTTGTGTGTATGCATGTGCCTTAGTCTGTGTCTATGCACCACAGGCATACAGTGCCAACAGGGGCCAGAAGAGGATATTGGATCCCTTGGAACTGGAAGTAGAGGTGGTTGGGAGCCATCATGTGGGTGCTGGGAGTTGAACCTAGGTCCTCTGAAAGAGTAGCCAGTGTTCCCACCCCCCCCCCCCAAATCAAAAAGCTCGGGAGGCAGAGGCAGGTGGATCTCTGTGAGTTCGAGACCAGCCTGGTCTACCGAACGAGTTCCAGGACAAGCTCCAAAACAATACAGAGAAACCCTGCCTCGAAAAACTGAAAAAAATAAAATAAAATAAAGAGTAGCCAGTGTTCTTAACCACTAAGCCATCTCCAGCCTCATGACTAGATTTTTTTATATAAGCTCATATATTACAGTAAAATGTGGTAGAATATTATTTTAAGGTGTGTGTCTTCTGTGTCTGCTGCATTTGTTTAGCTATGTGGAGCTGTGTTGGTGTGCCTGTTTAAAACACCTGATGATCCTAATAAAGAGCTGAATGGCCAGTAGCCAGGCAGCAGCAAGGATAGGTGGGGCTGGCAGACAGAGTATTAAATAGGAAGAGAAATAAGGAGAGAACAAGGAAAGAAGGACTTCAGCAGCCAGCCACCCCTGGAGTAAGAGAAAAGAAAGATATACAGAAGTAAGAAAGATGAAATCCCAGAAGGAAAAGATACATAGGATAATTTAAGAAAAGGCCGGCATTCATGCTAAGAATAAGCCTCCGTGTATTTACTTGGCAGCTGTGTATAATGCCTGTCAGAGTAAAAATTCAAAAGAGTGAAAAAAAAATCAACAGTAAAAACTTCCACTCATCACTCAATTCTCAAGTCCTCTGCAGGCCTAACAATTACATTATTTCATGTATATCTTGTAAAGAATGCCAGAAAGGGGCTGGAGAGATGGGTGATTGGTTAAGAGCACTGGCTGCTCATCCAGAGGACCCCAGTTCAATCCCAGTACCTACATGGCAGATCATAACTGTCTGTAACTCCATTTCCAGAGGACCTGACACTCTCACACAGACATACATGCAGACAAAACACCACCAATGCACATAAAATAAAAATTATTAAATCCCCAGGGACCGGGCGTTGGTGGCGCACGCCTTTAATCCCAGCACTCGGGAAGCAGAGGCAGGCGGATCTCTGTGAGTTCGAGGCCAGCCTGGTCTACAAAATGAGTTCCAGGACAGCCTCCAAACTTACAGAGAAACCCTGTCTCGAAAAACCAAAAAAAAAAAAAAAAATCCTCAGGGAGTGGTAGTGCATACCTTTAATCCCAGCACCCAGGAGGCAGAGGCCGGTAGATCTGAGTTTGAGGCCAGCCTGGTCTGTGGAGTCAGTTCCTGGACAGCTAGGGCTATATAGAGAAATCCGGTCTCAACTAAATAAATGTGGGGGGGGGGCAGTTATGAGCCACCTGATGTGAGTGCTGGGAACTGAACTCAGGTCCTCTGCAAAAGTAGCAACAGCTCTTAACCACTGAACCATCTCTCCAGCCCTTTGATGTATATCTCTCTCAGACGTTTATAAATATATCTAGGATTGTTCTGTGTGATTTAAAACAAATGTTATCTTGTCAAAAGAGAAACAAGGCCAGTGTGATAGCACACACCTGTAATCCCAGCACTCAGGAGGCGGAAGCAAGAGGATCACTGAGTGAGGCCAGCCTATGTTGTGGAGGTATTCAGTAGAGAAGATTGCTCAGACATGGGTTGAGGCCAACTGAACATCTTTATTAGCCAGCCAGTAACTACACTAAGTGTTCAGGATCCCAGAGTAGCCCCGAGCCTGTCTCAGGGTGGGCTTTTAAGCACAAAAACCATATCCTTGATTGGCATAGTTCAGTTAACCAGAACAGTTAGCCAGAAACAGAACTACAGAAGCCAAAAAACAAGGATAGTACGTTTAGAAACTTTCCCATAACTATGAACTTTGATGAATTAGGTCTTTGTCTTCATTTTTTGGCAGGTGGTGTTATGCACATGCTGAGTTTTAGAGTCTGGATGGCATTTCCATCATGGAGTCAGTTGTGCTAAGGTCTGGGACCTGGTTCTGCCTGGTCCTTATATGGAGTTCCAGGCCAACCAGGGCTACAGAATAACACTCTGTCTTAAGACACACACCTCACTCTCATTCCACCCACCAAAAGTTTGGGACAGTTCCACAAGCCACCTGGCCCTCTGTTTACTTTGCTTGGTATTCACAGCATATTTTGTGAGCATTCCAACTTTCCGGTGAGAGCTTCCCACAGGCATGGCTGTGGGAACATCCGGCACATGCCACTCAGGACAGCTGCAAGTTCTTAGCACTCTGCCCACCAGGTCTGCCCCTCCTGGCTTAGAATTCTGCTGCCCAGTTGTGCATTACCAGACAA